GTTCAAGGTAGTCGGATTAGTGACCTCAGCTCAGAAATTCTAGGCATTATAAAAAAAAAAAACCTGTTGTCTGCCTTGATTTTATTCACTCATGTAGATAATTAATGACCAGATATCGCATATTGGTGGATGCGCCGGGAAAGCCTCATTATCACCCCCACCAGCACTCAGCTGCTACTTTTGTGTTGACACGCAACTGCCCACAATTTCCCCACATATTTAGTCTCCCATTACTGCCAACCTGATAGCCTGTCATTCCCCATTAACCCGCCTCACAATACTTTATGATGGATCCGCCCGGCCCTCTGCCCATAACTCCTCACTCTATTGAATAAACGTCATGTCCCCAAATCCGTCTGACATCCGAAACTATCAAAACGATTATTCAGCATGATCGTCCCATTATCTATTTTCGTCCGAAAATTATGTAAGGACCCGTCGATAAATCACTTTTCCTCCCGCGAAAGCTCACCTCCCTTAAAATATTAAATTATCCTCCCCCCGCCTTGCTGTTTTTGCATTTCTTTTTCCGCCTCAATTCGTGTGTCAGCGCGAACATTCGATTTTATTCATGAGTGGCAATTCCGATGAAATCACATGTTTTATTTAAATAGTCCCTTGTATCGATTCTGGCCGTGAACGCGTGATTTGAGGTGTACGTACGTGTTGTCCTGCGTATTCGGAGAAGTCGGCTGAGGAAACCAGCGGTCCTCAAAATGCCGAATCTGCAATGCTAATATTTCGCGTGATGGTTTTGCTGGATTAGGGCGTTGAAGTTCACACGACCTGTTGATTTATATTGGCATATATCGGGCGTGAGATGGAAGGAAAGTGGGTTCGAGCAAGCCGTTGAAAGATTCATTAGATTGGTAGCACTGGCTAGTGGCGGTTTACACGGGCGAACCCGTTTAGGGTGGTTGTAAATTGATTCTCAAGTTAAAAATACACGAGCCACAATTTTGCTGGTTTGAATATATCAACAGCGTAAATTTTATCCGTCAAGTTGGCAGCAGAAATATCTTGAATTATTTCGGAAAAAATGGAAGTGTACTTTGATTTTAACCCTCCAGCTACAACAAAATTCTTATAGACAACATTAATCAAGATAGCATTGAAAAAATTGTGAATTACCTCACAGGAAAAAAATATGTCGATTAATTCATGATTGGTTATAAACAAGATACAAGGAGATGATGCTGTAAGATCGAATATCGTGTGTTTTCTCACCAGTTATAAATATATAAGGTGCTCTACATCTTTGACTTTAATGGCGACTTTGAATTTTTATGGCTAAAAGAAATTGTGTACAGTAGCGGTCATTTCTACGGAACCACTCGATAAAAAGTCAAGTTGGTAGCCCTGTCATCTAGTACTTTACGCCGAACGCAGTTGGTAGCGATAGTTGACATGGCAATCGAAACTAGTACAACACGAATGTTTCGGTTGCCCTCAGCTATGCCGCACTGTATCCCGTGCAGACTGTATGTTCTGTTCATCTATTTATTAAAATAAAATATCTACATTGACAATGGGGCCATCTAACCTGTCAAATTTTTGACACATATGTTTTCCCCCAGAAACCCGTCAAGGTCACTTACACCAAACAAATTTTGAAAATTTACAGTAGGGAGTGGTTCTATAGAAAAGATCGCGACTTTATTTCCAAAAACTGACGACGTAATCTCAAAACAAACTTTTGAGCTTTTCAGAGTGAAAATACTTTGAGAACAACACACCAAAAAAAAACGTTATTTCACATCTTCTTTTTGTTATTTATAACCATAATAATAATAAATCTAGTAGCTGGTAAGATAAGACTTATTTTGGCAGATGACATACTTTCTAAGAAAAGAGAGGGTGGGTGGGCGGGGTTAGTAGCTGGTAAGATAAGACTTATTTTGGCAAAAGACATACTTTCTAAGAAAACAGAGGGTGGGTGGGCGGGGCTAGTGCCTGCTAGGATAAGACTGATATTGGCAAATGGGATCCCTCTAAGAAAATAGAAAAATGGAAAAATTGAAAATTCGAAAATCGAGACTTCAAAAAATCCGAGACTCGAAATATAGGAATGTCGAAATATCGAAAGTCAAAAAATCAAACATTCTAAAATCGAAAAATCGGAAAGTCGAAAAATGGATAAAACTGAAAAATCAAGAACTCGAAATTTAAGAAACTAAAAATTTGAATACCGAAAATTCGATAAATGGAAAAGTCGAACGTTCTAAAAATTAAAAATCGAAAAAAACAATTGACAATTCGAGTAGGAACGTAAAATTGAAAACTCGAGAAATAAAAAAAGTGAAAATTCAAACATCGAAAACTCGAAATGTAAAAAAATTGAAACTCTAAAAACTCAAAAATGGAAAAACTGAAAAATCGAGAAATTGAAGAGGCAGCAAACTGAAAATTCGAATATCAGAAAATCGAAAATTCTAAATCGGAAAGTCGAAAAATTGAAAATTCCAATATCGGAAAATCGGATACCGAAAATTTGAAAACCTAAAAATCGAAAAACAAAACCGAAAATTGGAAATTCCAAATTTGAGAAATGCAAGCAACGAAATACAGAAAAATCGAAATATGGAAAGTCAATAAAGCGGAACTTCGAAAATTCGGGTTCGAATCGAAGACTGATTTTGGCAAGTGGCATACCTTCGAAGAAAATAAAGGGTGGGTGGGCGGGGTCAATACTTTCCAAGATAAGGCTAATCTTGCCAAATGAGATATTTTCTCCCCTTCATTTTCTTAGAGGGTATCTCATGAGCCAAAATCAGTCTTATCTTAGCAGCTGCTAGCCCCGTCCACCCACCCACCCTTTCTTTTCTTCAAGGGTATGTCATTTGCCAAAATAAGTTTTATCGTAGCAGGTACTAGCCCTGTTCATCCGCCCTCTCTTCCCTTAAAGGGTGTGCCATTTCCCAAAATTAGTATGTATCTTGATAGCTTACCTGCTAGAATAAGACCGATTTTGGCAAATGACATACTTTCTAAAAAAAGAGAGGGTGGGTGGGTGGGGCTAGTAGTTGCTAAGATAAAACTAATTGTGGCAGATGACATACTTTCTAAGAAAAGAGAGGGTGGGTGGACGGGGCTAGTAGCTGGTAAGATAAGACTTATTTTGGCAAATAACATATTTTTTAAGAAAAGAAAGGGTGGGTGGGGTTAGGCTAAGGTAAGAATGATTTTGGCAAATGCGATATCCTCTAAGAAACCAGAGGGTGGGTGGGCGGGGCTAGTGCCTGCTAGGATAAGACTGATTTTGGCAAATAGGATCCCTCTAAGAAAATAGAGGGCGTCTGGGCTGGGTTAGTACCAGTGGTGGGAAGGTTTACTGTAATTCAATTCCTTTTCAAGTAGTGAAAGTAATGCATTACTTTTCAAAAAATGTAATGAGAAATTGTAACGAATTATTTTTTATACAACTTATACAATTACATTTTGCTCAGTAGAGAGTTAAAATCTAAAACAAGTTTACCACAGAATTTGTTAAGAAACCAAATAACCATAATATACAGAAGCTCTTCATCATTTTAACTACCTCTTTTTGTTGTTTATAACCATAATAATAATAAATCTATTAAATGATAAATTGTGATTCCTCTCATAATATTTTCCCTCTAGTTATTGTCGATAGAAGTACTATATAGGATGTTTCAAAAATTAATTACTATGCGAATGAAATTCCCTCCAAAGAACTGATGACGTCATTTCATTCGAAAGCTTACATTACAAGCAATGTGATGAATTCGATTTTTTTGCGTATCTTTTAAATTTATTAAAATAGAATTTGACGTTTCAACCAGAAACCAGTTTTTTCATAAAGAACAAACAACACCTTACTGATAATAAGTGGTTTTTCACAAAAAATTTCATGGGCAATTTTTTCAATCAAGGAGACTGGATAACAAGGAAAAAATAAACGACGTATTTCCATGAGTGATACATTAAGATTGCAAAAGTTACTGCTCCCAATCCTATCACATTTATTAAATACCACTTCTCTAATTACTACACATTCGGAGTCTGCCGCACTCATTTATATTAGTTGCTCTGGTTGTAAGCCGTTAAGTCACTCGTAGGTATAATGACAGAAACGAAGAATTGGGTGTATCGTGAGTAGCAACAGACGATCAAACCTATGTGTTAGACAAAGAACAAACATCAGTGCAGACATTTTTTCAGCTGTGGATTGAGACAAATCCATCTCTTTTCTTTATTATGTAGATGTTCTACAGTGACATCTGGTATAAAGTTAAGGAACTAGTTTTAGTGGAACTGATACTTCATTAATCCAGAGCGATAACGATGTAACCTTATACACTACATCAGTCAACATACAATTACGACAGTAATGTTATGTAGTTAAAAGTCGCGTGTTACTGACGTCTTTAAATTATCATTTATCAGTAAATGGAGCGCGCCACAGGTCATTTAGTTTGTGTAGTTACACGAAATAACATGCCATCAGATATAACACAAATCAATACTTGAAAATTGTCCAAAGTGAATACAATCATCTGTCGTTTCGGCATATCTTTCAGTATTCTGAAACTGATTTGATTGACGTTTGTTTATATGTATATTTTAGTCATTACTGAAACGAAAAAAATAGGTCATCTATTTTTTAGATGTTAATGGTAATTTGACCGTATACTTAAAATTTTCCAATTTATTGGACATTGGCATGTTTATAAATCTTAAAATTTGCTTAATCTAACCGTAAATGAAATGCTAACTTGGATCATCGTCATCATCATCATCGTTTTCTTTTTCTTCACGAAAAAAGAACTAAAAAAAAAACAGATGGAATTATTCTGATAGTTTTGGTATATCGATTCACAAAAACTCAGTATTAAGGCAAAAAGTAGCTGCCTTTCGGAAACAAACCATTTTTATTTTCAAGTTTGTGCAAAAAGCGCGTTTTTCTTTTTTGATTGTCCACAGCCCCACATTTTGGCAACTCCCGCGCTGGCCTTTCGCGCCATGCCAGTGCCGGCATCCGCTGAACGCTCCTCAGTTGACACTCCTCAGCTGTCAGTCGCGCCATGGCCGCCTCTGTCTAACCACAACAAAGTCCGGTGGAGTCTCCAGCATGTCTCACGTCCGCGATTCCCGCAGCACCGTGATCGGCGTTATCAGCGCGTCAGCGTCGCGCCTCCGCAGCCGCCCCTCCCGAACATAACCTCACTCTCCGTCATTCGCGCAGCGCCAAGTTCAAAGCCGTCTTTCTGAAGAGATGCAGCAGCGAAGGCATCATGGTGTTGAGCACGGAATGGTCGCAAGTTGAGATAATCGATTTGGTGAACGATGGCTCGGGCTTGGGGTTCGGGATCGTGGGAGGGCGCAGCACCGGGGTCGTCATAAAGAGCATCCTGCCCGGAGGGATAGCGGACAAGGATAGCAGGCTCCAGAGCGGCGACCACATCCTGCAGATCGGGGACGTCAACCTCAGGGGGCTCGCTGCTGATCAAGTTGCCACCGTACTGAGGCAGGCTGGGGCACAGGTGGTTAACATTTTTAATACACGAATATGTAAGACATCACTTAACATTGTGCACTGTGTTCGTGTAGGTTGTAGCTGTAGGGGGGCCCGGGCATGCACACGCACTCACGCACGGGTATTGCATGGTTCACACGTGGGTAGTGATAGTGGTAGTTTTATAGCGTCAAAACTGTCATGATTGGCAGTTGTCACTAGGCAGTGACAGTTTTGACTGTTTGCACTTGTCAGTGCCGCAAACTATAAAAAGTCAATTGTCAGAATTGTCTACAGTCAAGTTTTTTCGAAAAACACTTGTTAGTGACATTTTCTGCCAACATTATTATTTTAAAAATAAATTTCAGGACCTACTAGACGATTTTTTTCTTCATTGATCACATCTATGTAATGATCAAGTGTATTATTATTATTATCATTATGATTTATTTATTGCCCAACAGTGTAAAAGACACCAATGACAGGTACAATTTATTTATGTGGAATGCCTACACTTAATATAAATTCAAATTAGTGATATCTATCACTCAAAAATGAATAAAATATTTGAAAATACTTGACCAGTAAATACATATTACGTATTCAAAAGCAATTTCAATATACATTTTTTAAATAACAAGTATTGTATATGAATATGTCAACATAATAGCACACAATGAAAGCAATTTTACTTTGGTTGTATATTTTTAATTGCTCAGTAGACTTAAAAGGGTGCGGACTAGTCCACTTGCGAAGTTAGGGGGGAAGATTGTATGTACTAGTTATACCGGGTGTCTGGAAAATGGCGGATCTTCAGTGCGTTACGTACGGGGGTTTCGGGAGTCCCAAAAAAATAATAAAAACAATCTTTATGATGTAGATTACGAAAAAAATGTAATTTATTAATTATATTCTTCTGTAGAATGAGAATGGAAACTAATAAAATCTAGGACGTGGAAAACGTAAAAAGCGCTAATCTAAAATTTCTTGTATAAAAACTTTATTTCTTATTTCAGACGAAAAAAAAAAGAGAACGGAAGGGTGGGTGGGTGGGGCTAAGTTTAACTTTTCTTTAATGAGTGTTTTATAAGTAAACAATAGCCCGCCCACCCACCCACTCTTCATTCTGGTGACTACTCTTAACACTGGTAATTAATGATAACATTATTATGTTACAAGAATCTTAAGCAAATCCATTAAACCATTGGTGAGAAAATTGTTCAATTGTTAAACAAAGTATCTTGCCAGAAATCATGTTTAAAAGACAATATTGCTGATGCTCCTCCCACTCGCAGAAGCTCCACCTTGATAAACCATTTCATTGGCTCGGAGAAGAGGGGCGGCCTTTACAATTGTATTGCGTTGGATCTACTTTATATGATTTTTGTTATTGACGTGTAAATGCTGGCGGAAAAGACATTTTTCTAAAAAAAATTAAGTGGGTGTGTGGGGCTAGTAGCTACTAAGATAAAACTAATTTTGGCAGATGGCATAACTTCTAAGAAAAGAGAGGGTGGGTGGGCGGGGCTACTACCTGCTAAGATAATGCTGATTTTGGCAAATGACATATCCTCTAAGTATAAAATCAGTTTTATCTTAGCAGGTAGTAGCCCCACCCACCCGCCCTCTCTTCTCTTAAAGGGTATCTCATTTGCCAAAATCAGTCTTATCTTGGCAACAACTAGCCCCGCCCACCCACCCTCTCTTTTCTTAAAAGGTATATCATCTGCCAAAATTAGTTTTATCTTAGCAGGTATTAGCCCCACCCACCCACCCTCTCTTCCCATAAAGGGAACTTATTGGCCAATATCAGTCTTATTTTGGGAGCACCTAGCCCCGCCCACCCACCCTTTCTTTTCTTCAAGGGTATGTCATCTGTCAAAATCAGTTTTACCGTAGCAGGCTTAATGGTAGCTTACCTGCTAGAATAAGACCGATTTTGGCAAATGACATACTCTCTAAAAAAGGAGAGGGTGGGTGGGTAGGGCTAGTAGTTGCTAAGATAAAACTAATTTTGGCAGATGACATACTTTCTAAGAAAACAGGGTGGGTGGGCGAGGCTAGTGCCTGCTAGGATAAGACTGATTTTGGCAAATGGGATCCCTCTAAGAAAATAGAAAAATGGAAAAATTGAAAATTTGAAAATCGAGACTTCAAAAAATCCGAGACTCGAAATATAGGAATGTCGAAATATCGAAAGTCAAAAAATCAAACATTCTAAAATCGAAAAATCGGAAAGACCAAAAATGGATAAAACTGAAAAATCAAGAACTCGAAATTTAAGAAACTAAAAATTCGAATACCGAAAATTCGTTAAATGGAAAAGTAGAACGTTCTAAAAATTAAAAATCGAAAAAAACAATTGACAATTCGAGTAGGAACGTAAAATTGAAAACTCGAGAAATTAAAAAATTGATATATATTTAAAATTGATCCATAAATAGGGAAAACCAGATAATCTCATACTCATCACAATATTAACCCGTTGTAGCTTTTTTTGACAACCAAATTTAAAAAACGGAAAAGCAGTCTGGGTAGGGTTTTTACGCTCATTTCAATGGTGTGAAGTTTGTTACAATCGGACGTATATTTTTGGCAAAAACTTGGGCAGAAGTTTATATGTATTTCCCTATGCTGGAATATGCTTTAGCTCACCCTTAAAATGATGAAGAGCTTATGTATATTGTATACTATGGTTACGTGGTTTTTTAACAAATTCTTTGCTAAACTCGTTTTAGATTTTAACTCCCTACCGGGCAAAAAGTAATTGTAAAAGTGACTGAATTACTCAAAAAAAGTAATTCGTTACAATTTCTCATTACATTTTTTGAAAAGTAATGCATTACTTGAAAAGGAATTGAATTACAGTTATGAATTACTTATAAGTCAATTACTTCCAGCCCAGACGCCCTCTATTTCTTAGAGGGATCCCATTTGCCAAAATCAGTCTTATCCTAGCAGGCACTAGCCCCGCCCACCCACCCTCTGCTTTCTTAGAGGATATCGCATTTGCAAAAATCATTCTTACCTTAGCAGGAACTAACCCACCCACCCTTTCTTTTCTTAGAAAGTATGTCATCTGCCAAAATAAGTCTTATCTTACCAGCTACTAGCCCCGCCCACCCACCTCTCTTTTCTTAGAAAGTATGTCATCTGCCAAAATAAGTCTTATCTTACCAGCTACTAGCCCCGCCCACCCCACCCTCTCTTTTCTTAGAAAGTATGTCATCTGCCAAAATAAGTCTTATCTTACCAGCTACTAGTCCCGCCCACCCACCGTCTCTTTTCTTAGAAAGTATGTTATCTGCCAAAATTAGTTCTATCTTAGCAACTACTAACCCCACCCACCCGCCCTCTCTTTTTTTTAGAGAGTATGTCATTTGCCAAAATCGGTCTTATTCTAGCAGGTAAGCTACCAAGATAAGTACTGATTTTGGGAAATGGCATACCCTTTAAGGGAAGAGAGGGCGGATGAGCAGGGCTAGTACCTGCTACGATAAAACTGATTTTGGCAAATGACATACCCTTGAAGAAAAGAAAGGGTGGGTGGGTGGACGGGGCTAGTAGCTGCTAAGATAAGACTGATTTTGGCTCATGAGATACCCTGAATGAAGGGTAGAAAATATCTCATTTGGCAAGATCGGTCTTATCTTGGAAAGTATTGGCCCCGCCCACCCACCCTTTATTTTCTTCGAAGGTATGCCACTTGCCAAAATCAGTCTTCGATTCGAACCCGAATTTTCGAAGTTCCGCTTTATTGACTTTCGATATTTCGATTTTTCTGTATTTCCTTTCTTGCATTTCTCAAATTTGGAATTTCCAATTTTCGGTTTTGTTTTTCGATTTTTAGGTTTTCAAATTTTCGGTTTTCCGATTTTCCGATATTGGAATTTTCAATTTTTTTACTTTTCGGTTATCGATTTTTCGACTTTCCGATTTTTTTCGAATTTTTGGTTTTCTGATATTCGAATTTTCAGTTTGCTCCCTCTTCAATTTCTCGATTTTTCAGTTTTTCCATTTTTGAGTTTTAGAGTTTTAATTTTTTTACATTTCGAGTTTTCGATCTTTGAATTTTCAATTTTTTGATTTCTCGAGTTTTCAATTTTACGTTCCTACTCGAATTGTCGATTTTTTCGATTTTTAATTTTTAGAACGTTCGACTTTTCCATTTATCGAATTTTCGGTATTCGAATTTTTAGTTTCTTAAATTTCGAGTTCTTGATTTTTCAGTTTTATCCATTTTTCGACTTTCCGATTTTTCGATTTTAGAATGTTTGATTTTTTGACTTTCGATATTTCGACATTCCTATATTTCGAGTCTCGGATTTTTTGAAGTCTCGTTTTTCGAACTGTCAATTTTTCCATTTTTCTATTTTCTTAGAGGGATCCCATTTGCCAAAATCAGTCTTATCCTATTTCCCTATTTATGGATCAATTTTAAATCTTCTAAAAGGTACATTAGTAGAAATTGGATTAAAAAATCCTTTGCGCTTGCTTAAATATAATTGAATAAACAGGGGCAGAATATTTAAAATTTGTGGTCAAACAAACTTTAGCCATTTTTCTGGTCCACTCAAATCTATAACAAGTAACGATTGAGCCCGTCCTTTTAAATCCTTCATAATCCGACAGTAAAATTTTATGAGAGTTAAGGTTTTCTAAATTTAATCTGTAAGTCACAACGCCAAGTAAAAGGCAATTAAAGACAGACTTTTAAGGTTAGCTAGTTCCTGCTAAGATAAGAGTGATTTTGGCAAATGACATATCCTCTAAGAAAACAGAGGGTGGGTGGGCGGGGCTAGTACCTGCTAAGATAAAACTGATATTGGCAAATGACATACTCTCGAAGAAAATGAAGGGTGGAAGGTATATCATTTGACAAAATCAGTCTAATCTTGGAAAGTATTGACCCCACCCACCCACCCTTTATTTTTTTCCAAGGTATGCCATCTGCCAAAATCAGTCTTATTTTGGTAAGTTCTAGCCCCACCCGCCCGCCCTTTATTTTCTTAGAGGGTATTTTATTTG